TTATAGACTTTCTCTAGGAACAATTTTGGTCAATACTTACCAGCTATATACCACAATTTTGAATTCCATCCTCAACCAATAAAAACGATATATCTTCTATTTAACGAGTTGTAAAATAGACCTTATATATACCATTCGATGCGCCTCAAAAAGCTCTACAAAATGGTATATTGGGATTTGTTATACAGATATAGTCGCCTTATTCGATAGGGTCCTTTATCATTATAGTTGGTCAATTTTGTAAAAATTTTTCTATCTATAACGGTATAAATTAGAATAAATTTTGTTGATTCTTATATTTATATATAAGTAATCATATTGATTTAATGCCATCTGATGAGATCCTTAAGCAAGATCGAAACGCGTCATGGCTACCTATATCACACCCACACCCAGCTGAAGAAGGTAATATTATTGACGAAATGGAATGCGAGTAAAGCTCTTTCGAGGCTCTCTACGCCCAGGCATTGTTTTGGCAAATCTATTAGACAACAAAAGTATACACATCTATTTAGAAGACATGTGACGCGATTTCTTTCACAGAAATCATTCGATTCTCTAAGCAAATATCTATTGGACATTTTTTTATTCAAATATAAAAAGCTTTCTTGTATTTTAAAGTATGACACTTATTTCTTTTGATAATCATCATTTTAGAAATATTTTATTCTTTTGGTGACATAATTAACTGATAAATGAATTTAGAATGATCTAAACATTTTGTATTGATTTTTGAGCTTTCACGAAGAAAATATATTGTTCTACAATATTTATATGAATTGGTAAAAAAAAATTCGTTGAATTCTTACTGTATTTTGTTTAGAAGATCAATCTTGAGTTCACACAGTTGAATATCAATATTTGTCCTAGCTCTTCATTTAGCAATAATATTTCTAATTGAATAAAAGTATATTATAGCCGAAAAGCTTCTTGTACACGATTTAAATTCAAAGATATACTACATGAACGATGACAAGTTTTTGAGAAAAAAAATTGCTGAATAAAATCATAAAGGTTTGTTAAAAATCGCAATATTTCAAAAGAAACATGCTACGACCGCACCGCATACTCCACAGCAGAGGATTAGACCAAGCAGACTATACTGTGTTAACAATAAACCGAAAGCCATGTTATATACAAGTTTTTGGCAATAATCGGAACTTAGAGAATTTTCATATTGTACCGTCGATCTTTTACTGAACACCCAAACGCTACCCTAATAATAAACTATGCTAAGAGGAACAGCATCGAACATATCGATAGTACTCACAGTGATCATCCATGCTAGGAAAAACAGGAGAGAAAGAAAGGCAAGACAAGCAGTGCAACTTTTGAAACCGGTTCCAGTACAACGACAACAAACATAAGTTAGACCCTGGAATGCATCTTAATGTTACATCAATGTGTTCAACGAAGGTCTATTCAACTCACGATAATTATTAGCGCAATTGTGCAAGCAAGTCCAGATACACCGAGACCAATTAACCATTTCGGTATCCATGACTGAATATTGCACTCATACTGACCTCTTGCTCCAACTATGATTGCCATTAATGAAATGCCCAAAGCAATCAATGAAGTAATTGTCACCAGAATAATAACTGCTGTTGCATGTTTAGGCTTATCTGAGTCGTTGAACCATGCGTTTTTGGGTTGTTCACCAGGATTGCTGATCTGTGATGAACTGGAATTCTTTCTATTGGATATCGGTGCTGGTGTTGGTTGACGAGAACTCTAGAATAAAATACTTTTAGGTTTCCTAAAACATGTATTGCTACATTGACGTTTGTTTTGCATAAAATCTTCAACCAAGCGAGATGAATAGTTGAGGTAACTGGTGTTCCTTCTATTTTCAACCTCGTTCAATTGGCGGACTTTTCTGTACTTTTTCAAAACAACTAAATGCTCGATTTTGCACATAAAACTATACGAAATTTTCACCTGTAAGCGGTACCCTCTTGATATATTCCTTCAATCGGACACGACTCTTTTTATAATGACGACAGTTTTTTCCTCTATTCTTTCTTTTGACAGCATTGCTTGCATCTCTTACTTATAATAAAAACAAGAATCATTGTCCATTGTTCTTTAGAAGTCCGATCTATCTTTCTATTGAGAACATAAATAGCATGTAATACCACATGGTTAGAGTGAGCACGACCAAGAACAATGTAGAAAAATGAATTCACCTGCATCAGCTTAAGCAAACGATGCATGTTTAAGAAATTTAACGGATAGTCGCACTTTCATTTACTTTTATGAATAAGAATTTACTATTCAATCGAGTAAACAAGCGTAGTTGGCGAAATACTTGTTTGCAAAATGAAAAAAATCAGAAGAATGTAGTAACAGTAAGTATAAAGGTGTAGAGCTAGAAATATGTAACTAATGGCATTCACAAATATTCACCATCACGATGAAATAACTTTATTTATTAAACTTTTTAAGTGGCAAGAAAAAAACTTACCATTGATATACTAGGATTTGGTGCAATGACTTTAGCTTTTGATACATATATTAGTTCACGATTAGGAAATTTAGGTTCAATCTCTTTCATTTGAACATTTGTAAGACCATGACCCAAGTCCAATACTGCAACGACAATGAATTCTGTCCCAGGTAACAAAAGAACTTCATTTTCTGACTTAAAGTATGAATGGTGTTTGATATCTTTCGCTGAATAGCAATCAATGTTAAATATTGTTCTGTTCCCACTTGTGCCACATAATTGATCACTTTGTAGTGTATCTGCTACGGTCGTACAAGATGTAAAACACCACCAAGTGATTCGCTGCCCTTTTCTAAAGATTGTTTGCAAGTCTCTCGTTCCACGGTATACGGTACCTTTTTTTGTTGGTAGATGCCATAGTGCGGTAAATAGTAATTTAAGGTAATGTAGCCAAGGCGTTAGAGCGTTTCTATTTTCCAAACGCAATGTTTTATTAAGAATGAAGAAGAACGATGTTTCATGTGGAAGCCATTCTAAAGTATATAGCACAATAGCGGCAGATTGATCAATCGACAATTCATCGTTTAGATTAGCAGCATATTCCTTTGCTATGTAAGCCATGTGTTGAATTTTTGGGACGACTAAATCAAGGTGACCCACAGCTTCTTCAAGAGTAACCAGAGGCAAGTGAGCGTAACCGCCAAGGGGAGTTAACCTTCGTGTCATCGGTTTCTCAATGTTCATGAATCGCAATTGTACATTATTTTCACTGTTGATGTTCGAGTACATTGTGAAGCAGATAATTCTAAAAATTTGATTCATTAGCAAAATATGTGGGCATAAGTGTAAGAGAAAATAGGAGAGGGAGAGTATATGTGTATAGATGTGACTGAATAGAGAATAGGAATGAAACTCTTATGGTTGACAATTACTTGCTTTTGAGGACTGAACACAGGGATTCAGACTCTACCAGATAAAAGGTGCAACAAGTCAGCATATTATTTAAATTGAGCTTGAAATGTAGGTTCTTTCTAATTTTTACAGAGAATAAGCGATGTTCTAATAAGAGATACATCTACTACAGATTCGTATAAACACCTTATAGTACTTAACAGTAAAATTTTTCTCCGGTTCTGTTGACAGAAGATCGATTCTGATCTTCTACAAGAATTAAACTGAGGAGAAAATGGAAGCAGTATTTTGATGACAATATACACTGTCATGATTTTTCGCCTTTTCCTTGCTATGGGCGTTGCCAATCAATAAAAATACATATATTCGACATCAGCCACGATGAAATAACTGATGCATGAATCTATGGGGTTTAAAATCACGAGCGCTGAATTTTTACCAAATATAAACAGACGAAATGCGATAAACTTCAATAGAATAAATCAAACAAATATGAAATAGCATATTAAAAAAATGAAATTCTTATTGAAGACACAAACAACTAATTATATTGAGCTTTTATGCCAGTATGAGTTTGATAATAAAACACTATTTACTAGCATATTTCGAAACGCGTTTCTTTCCAGACAGTCTATGATTCGAAGTTATACGTACTGTTATTGCACTATTTCATTTTATAAAGATGTTAAGAGATTAACAGTAAAAATAAAGTTTCTTTGTTATGAGCCAATCAAAATAAAAACAAATGAATATCATTGTATACTATTTGTTCTAAGTTTTGTCGAACTCATTTTATTGACAATCAACAGGAACTGTTAAACTCGTACAAATAAACAATATCTAGGCAAACAACCTATACGATCGTTTAATAAGTCATTTGAATATTAATTGCTATTATTGACTACTTAACTAATCTGAACGATTGTGACCATACAATTTCAATAGTAGTATTGTTCATTTTTATTAACTTTGCATTAGAGTACTGCAAGGGTATGAATTTCGTTACCCTACCCTACCCTACATTTTTTTCGTACCCTAACCCTACCTTACCATACGAGAATCATACCCGACCCGACCCTACCCTACGATGGTCGTACCCTAGCCATACCCTAGGGTACTATAGTTGTACCCTATACCCTACCCTACACTACCAAATTCAAAAAATACAATTACTGCATACCCTACCCTACACTACCAAATTCAAAAAATACAATTACTGCATACCATACATCACTTTTTCATTTATTTATCAAATGATACAGTAAAATTTTATAAATGCCAAGAATGGTATCAAAGAATATCACAGTTAATATGATAATCAGAAAAACAGTACTACATGGACCACGAATATTATCAATACGAAAACAAGGACAATAGTACTGAATCAGACGCATTAGAAGACATGTGATCTTCTATTTTGTCGAAGCGTGGAAAGCTTTCAGGAAAGGCTTATATTGTTTTCCATTTATTACCGTAATTTTTAATTACTTAAAAATGTTCCGCAGAAAAAAAAACGATTTTTAAAATTTGGAAAGAGATTTTTAAGTTTTTAAAAGTGCAGAGACAAGAATGAACTGATTATTTTAAAATTCTCGGTGAAAAACTCTGAAAAATAGTGATATTTTGATGCAAATACACTATTTAAAGGTCGAACTTCTCGAGATATTAATTAATTAAAGGGGGCTCATTTGTTGTGTCCAACCCATAATTTCCTCAAGGGGGTCTTCTAATGTAAGGGGCATTTCTTATTATAGTGAAGTCTTCTAATATAAGTGGTCTTTTATTGCGGAGATGAATTTACATCGGTCACGGATATTAAAAAGAATACTGGCAAAGATTTACAGAAAGACATGTACAACTGTTGCTATTTATTATTGAATGACTCGAAGTAATCATCCAGTCGGTATTTTTCTCATTATTCCCCTACGAATAGAAGATATTGCTCGATAGTAGAAGTTGACAGACATCGGGCGTTTAAATAGATCAGATAGACAAAATGAAAAATATACCCTGAAATAACCTACAATTTTTAAAATGATACCCTAGCCCTAGCCTACCCTACGCGAGTCGTACCCTAACCCTACCTTATCCTAGGGTAGGATATAGGGTAGGGTAGGGTAGGGTACGCTGCAGGACTCTACTCTATATGGTCCATTATAGGGGTGCAACGGTGACGGTGAATAGCATCCATCAGCTACCAAGTCATAGAGTCAATATCCCTAATTACGACAGTAAAAAATTCACTTCGATTGTTCAACTTCGTTCGTCGTCAATTTACTTTCGAATGAAAGTATACTTATATGTGCATGATCCTTGAAGTCTTCTGTTTCAAATGGTATGCTTTGAACTTTTCTCACTCACATAGTTCTCGAGAAAACAGCGGTCTACGATGAAGA